TCAAGGGGGAAATCGAGAAAGACACCGGGGACAGTGCGGGCAGTGAGCTTGTCCATGCCAGAGGCATAAACATGAGCGAGGCAGCCCTAGTCGTTGAACGCAGATGCGTCACCATGGAACTCGGTCCAAAAAAGAGTCGGCGAAACCTGCGGCCGCTGGGAGCGCGGGCACAGGTTAAGCTGGTGAGCGGCGTAGCGAACGGTGAATGGCCACAGAAAATGGGGTGCACCGGCATGAATCATGGAGGTACGAGCCACCTCCATGACCAAACAAATGCGTCACTCAGCGACCCCATTCTGCTGCGAGGAGTCCGGTAGGATGTACGACTGGGTGATGCCCTCCTCACGACAAAACTATCCAAGCCGACTAGAGGCCAACTTGCTGCTACGGTCGGAGTGGAGACACAGCACAGGGAGACCGGGTGGAGACGGCAGCTACGACCCACGGGATAAGAACTTAAGGCACATCGGCATTCCGCTCCAGGGGAAACACTGTGGTGTAGTGCGTGTAGTCGTCAATGAGCACGATAAAGTAGCGCTCGCGACGTGGTCCAGGGACGGGGGCTGGGCTCCAGACGTCCAGGTGCAGGGTCAAGAGGGGTGTTGTGGCACGGCGAAGCGAGGAGGAGTGAGAAGCACAACGCAGCCGGCCCACAACGCAGGGCATGCACGGCGGCGCAGGCGAGGGAGGGAGGGCAGAAAGTGACGCAGGGAGACCCAGGACGAGACCGTGCTGAGACATGTGACGTAGAAGCGGGAGTGCAGGGTGACCTAGGCGGTGGTGCCACAGAAGCAACAGGTGAGTGAGCGATTGACACGAGCAAGCCACGGCGACCTGGGTGGACGCAAGGCCTAGGGAGGACACGCTAACCGGGGGGGAAGCAGTGTCCAGCATAAACTGGCCAGACACCGGGTCTCGGGGGAACGTCGCAAGGGGGGAACCTGAGGCGGCCTCGGTACAGACAGCGTACCGCTCGTGACCTGGAAACGTAGTGGTGATGCCGATGTCCTGAAGACAGCTGACACCAACTAAGTTCCTGGAGAACGAAGGGATGTGCAGGCCTGTAAGGGAACCCGAGGGGACCGCTGGACAGGGAAGGGTAGTGTAGCTGCGAGCAACGATAGGACTAGAAGAGGGGTCAGCAGGTGCGACAGTGGCAGGCGCAGCAAGCGACGTGAGTGTGGCGTGGTAGCGGAAGAAGCAGGCAGACGCACGAGAGTCAAGTGTGAAAGACATCGAAGCGGTAGCGGCGGACGACGGAGGAGCAAGTGTAGAGCCTAGGCTAGACAAAGCAAATGGTCCTACGCCTCCCGCGGCAGGGGAGTCTGTACTATACACAGGTGCTACGCCTAAGCGAGAGAACACATGATAATAAGATCCGGACACACTAGAAGCGTCAGCATACAGAGAATGTAGGGCAGAACTAATCTGATCCATGTCTAACTCAAATCACAATACGCACCGTCAGACGTCCCGAAGCGGATTGTTCGCTGGCGACATGCGAGGTAGCAAAACTTCGCCTAGAAATTTTGCTAGAGGTGGTTCTGGAATTGGACGGCAAGTTGGATTGTTTGGGTGGTATGTTTTCGTCATGCTCAGGTACCTTGGAGCGTGTGCGTGGTGTCTGCTAATTTTGGGTGCTGGCTGGGCACATCGTTTTCGGGCACGTTTTGCAGTTACATTCTTAAAAGTGGTAACTAAACTCGGTGTTGAACAGGGCACGTACTTTAGTGACACGCCCTAAGCAAATTTGGAGGGGGATGGAAGGGATTTGGGAAGGGGACACGTGCGTGCATGCACGGTTGGCATCGCGTGTGGGTGGCACGCCACCCAGTTTGTGGGAGTCCTTGCCTGTGTTGAGTCCTCATCGCGCATGTGCCCCGAGAGGCAAGGTTTGTTACACGCGTCTCTATTTGGGCTGCACACCCTAATAGTGACGCCACGTTTTGGTGCAATTTTGGTTTGTTTATCCCTGATTTTGAACCCTGAATGTTTGCAGTTTGAGGTACACCCCAACTCAAGAACCCCTTTTTGGTCTTTGTCGAGTTGGTTACTAAAGCAATCACGATATGTACCCAACCAACCATGGGTGCAATCAATCACGGACCCCATTCCAACGCCCAACAAGAAGGAACCTTTGGGTAACCCTGTTCTGTGCGTCATGAGGCGAAACAAGTTTGTTTGCTGGCGCTATCTTCTCGCCTCCACCAATAGCACGCGCCGTTTCACATTGCGTCATTCTTGTGCATTGTAGAAAGAGGGTTGCTGGAGGGTTTGGGCAGGTGGGGGGGGGGCTTCGATGAATGGGCGGGGGTGAGTGTTGGGCACAGGTTGTGGGGCTTTTGCCCCCCCTCTTTTTTGTATAATGTGGGCGGTCTTACAGCCTGGGTGTTGAAGGTTGTTAGAAGAAAACCTAAGGAGAATTCCTGGTAATGTCTGTATTTAAGTACCTCGTTATCTCATATAGGGGATGCTCACAATCAAAGATCCGCATTACCTTATATAGAGGATGCGAGCGGGTGGCAACAGCCACCCAAGTCAGGGTTGCAGCGAGAAGTTGCGGCATGAAGTTCCGGAAAGAGGTTCGCTGGGAGATTTTTTTAGGAGGTTACTTCAGAATAAGCACTTCTCCTAGTATATATGCCTGCTGTATTTATCGTTGTATTATCCTTGTTCAATCAACTATCCTTACAGTCAAGGGCCACAAAGTCTTTTGCTGACTTGATCTCCCCTGGTTACACAGAATCGAGATCCCGAGGAACTTCCTGTTGTAGGGATAGTACATTTACATGGTATTCTGAGCAAGTGGATTCACCGCAACCTATATTCTCGCCTTCAGATTCTCCAGATTTTGTTACAACCATTATGCTGAAGCAGCTTCTAATATAACTTATCTCCATGTCGGGCAAACGACCTTCCTACCAGACTTCGAGCTCTCCAATTCCGGATGGGAAGAAGCCACAGTTCACTTCAGTGCAGTAATGGGAATGGAAGGACAACAAGAGCAAGGAGACAACTCTTTAATTCCCAATCGTGCTCCTGCCGGTAACACAATGAGCTTGGATAGCTCAAACTGCACCCGTCCTGCTGCTGCTACACCACCAACTACCAGACAAGAGTCCGTTGGGTCCTTTACCTTTCACGGTGGCCCTACAATTCCACAGCAACAACAACAGTAGCACAATGGTCAGAAGCTACTGCGGTTGTCAACCAGGCATACTTCATTACCATCTCGAAGCTGCAGACCTCAAGCCCCTTCAACGGAAAGACTTCTTCACATGGTCCATCGAGTTCCAACTCATATCATATTCTTCACGCATCTGGGGCTACTTGGATGGCTCCATCATGCACCATGAAACAGGAATGGGCATAAAAAAAGGGCACAATTGACGGCTCTTGCTAATGGCGTGTACACTGCTGGTGCAAAATCTCTCACTGCTTGTTGAATGCCCCTTCAAGACTCCACTTGCCCCTGCGTTCTATGTTGGGAAAGCCTCTGCAAGGTGCACCAAGCTCAAGATGCAGTGACACAAGGCAGATAACTTCAACAACTGAACTCACTTATGGTGCTTCCAGGAGAAAAGTCAAGAAGCTACACATCAACCGCTGCCACAACTAACGCGACCAGTCCCACGGGAGCGGTGAGAGCTTCAGCAGTGAGCTCTTTGTCATCGTGCTCCTCCAACTGGCGTATGTGCAACGCCTTCCTCTGCATGTGAAAATGCTGTGCATGTGGAAGGCCTTCCTCCGCACGCGAGGGAACATATCCAAGAGCATGTGCAAGGTCAACCTCCTCACGCAAGGTAACATATCCAAGAGCGTTCTCCTTGCAACACTCGCTACCGAGCAGCAAGATATGGACCAGCAGGACTCACGCAACAGGGCAAAGGCAGAGAGTTTGTTTTCTATGTTGGACAGCGACACAAAGGAACCAGACATGGAGAAACCCGCAAACCTCGACCCTTTTGCAAATGTTGCGAGAAATGGGGACACTTCATTGAATACTGTCATAAGCTGAAGGGTCGCCAATGTGCGGATGTCAACACACAATGTGCAGAAGTCAGAGTCTGAGTGTCACAGTAAATGATTGTGCCTGCAGCTGATGCCTCGGCTTCTTCCAACCTGCACATAGACTAATCATCAATTCCATGGCCGGCGCTCATTGGAGTTCTGACGTTCGATACTGGCCAAGGCGCGAAGACATGAGCAATGAAGACGATCGCTCACATAAGCCACCATCGTATTGTGCTGAGTGTCAGCGCCCGCAGTCCAAAACACAGCCACAACCCATCAATTTCGATGAAGATGAAGCAGTAGCAGAACGCCAAGCCGTGTCATGCCTTGCAAGCATAACGTGCAGCCGTACGCCCATGTTGCAAAGAGGAACTATCCTCACGATGTCAATATGTGGTTCCTCGACAATTGCTACGGCCACCACATGGCTTCTCCTTCGTGGTACCTCCTTGATTAGAAAGTTCTTCCCGAACCTGACAGGTACAACATCACAGTCGCAAACAATGAAGAGTAAACAGCGACTGCCCTAGGGAATCTTTGTTAGGATTAAGGACGGAGTCTAGGTGTGCTTAGGAGCTAGAAATACTCAAAATATAAATCCGAAATTCTGGACAGCAAAATTCGTCTTCACAAGAAACGACGTCGACAAAACACTAGCCGTTGGAATGTTGCAAAACTTGGATATGTTGTGGCGCTTAATCTCAGCTACCGTTCCCAATTTGAATCACGTTGATTGATGAAGTATTCGCGACGCTATGGCTTTCGACGCACTGGGGGGTAAGCTGTAGGAGGAGAACTTAACTCAATCTCAAAAGTTCAATCAAAGTTCAAGAATCTCACAAGGAATTAGAGGAGCAAGAGAAAGATTGGGATAGAAGAGAGGGATGAGAGGGAATGTCCCAAGAGAGTCCCCAACCAAGGAAACCCCATAAGCACAAAGATTCCCTCCCTATAGGAACCCCAACTTTGACATTTATCCCTTTCCAACCAATCCATCCAAGTTGGCCACCCTTGCCAACCTAGCTTGGTTGTTCCCAACCAATTTGCAGCTGTTACAGTAGAGTGACAAATTTCCCCAACCCCAAAGGTCCCAAATCCATATAGAGTCACCCCACAACTTCACTTTGTAACCGCCGCAATTGTAACGCAAGCTCATGAACTTTGAATCTTCATAGCTTTCGCGTTCTTGCTCCGATTGAAGCGATTCTTGTTGCGTCGGAAAGATCTTCTCAAGATCTATCATCACAAATACCTGCTTAGACAGAATAGCACAAAACACATTCCCAAATTCCAGAACACACCACACACAAATTCTTTCACAAATAGTCAAACCATACATGCGAATTGAAACAAGAGATGGGAGGCAGACAGAATGTGATAGCATATGATGACATCACACAACAATCTCCCCCTCTGGCTGCCAGCCATCATCCACCATACCAACATCTCAAGCATGCATACTCAATGCACACTCATCCCAGCAAGCTTCATGCCCTTCCAATGATCCGCCTCCGCCAGACGCTTAGTGAAAATATCTGCTGCCTGCTGATAGGACTTCACTATCTCCAGCCGCACCTCCTTATCAAGGAATCTCCTCACCCAATGCCACTTAGGCCTTATGTGTTTTGTCAGCCCATGCAGACAAGCATTCTTGGCCAGCTTCACAGCAGACTCATTATCACAAAAGATCACCGTCGGCTCCTTCTGACCCACTCCCAACTCCTCCAACAAACGCCTCAGCCACACCACTTCCTTGGCCCCATGGTGTAAGGCCATGTACTCAGTCTCACATGATGACAATCCCACCTCATTCTGCTTCTTGCTGCGCCAGCTCACAGCACCACCTCCCAGCAAACACACATAACCCCCAATGCTGGTGCCATCTGCTTTCACTGAGTTGAAGCTAGCGTCAGTATAGCAACTCAAGAGCATCTCTCCACTCTTCACATCTGCAGCACCTCTCTGCAACCGCTGCCTCACTCCACTGTACTCCAATCCCACTGATGCCGTAGCACTCACATAGCGGACCAACCTCTTGGCTGCTTCCAGGTGCTCATGACTAGGGCGTGAGACCACACTAGCCAACCGTGATGTAGCAAATGCAATGTCAGGCCGTGTATGATTTGCAGCATAGTTCAGCGACCCAACCATCGAATGAAACAGCTTCCTGTCACTCTCACCCACTACCTCCTCATCAGCACATGGCTCCACAGTAAACCCTGAAGGTAGTGGTGTTGCTGGTTTTCCCCCATCTTGCAGCCCATACTTCTCAGCCAGCCCCTCACAGTACTTCCTCTGGTGCAACCTCAGCACACCCTTTCCACATCTCTCTCCACATGCATCCCCAAGTAGTACTTCACCTCACCCATCTTGGAGCACTTGAACTGCATCTCCAGCATCTGCTCTGCGCTGTCCAGCAAAGCAGTTGATGCAGAGAAGAGAAGGATATCATCCACATACACCAAGAGCATGAGGATCTCATCCTTCTCCTGCAGCAGGAACAGGCTGGGGTCACACTCACTCTTCTTGAAACCCCCAGCCAACAGCGCCTCCTCCAACTTGTGATACCATGCACGAGGCGCCTGCTTAAGGCCATAGATGGCCTTCTTCAGCCTGCAGACCCTGCCGCTCCCATCATCCAGCCCCTCTGGCTGCTTCATGTACACCTCCTCCAGAATGATCCCATTCAGAAAGGCAGTTACAATGTCCATCTGCCGTATCTTCCATCCCAGGAGTGCAGCTATCGCCAACAGCACCCTCAGTGTTGTTCCTTTCCCCAAAGGAGCAAACACCTCATCATAGTCCTTCCCCTTTGTCTGCTGAAACCCCCGTGCCACAAGCCTAGACTTATAGCAGGTCAGCTCCCCTTCAGGTCCATACTTGTGCCTGTAGATCATCTTGGAAGTGATTGCCTTCTTCCCAGGAGGCAAGTCACGCAGGTCCCATGTCTCGTTCTCAATCAGGGACCCGAACTCCTCATCCTCACTCGCCTTCCACTTCTCCCCATCTGGTCCATTCAAGGCCTCCTCTCGAGTCTTGGGCTCAGGGATTGGTGCCCAGTAGCAGTGAGCGATCTCATCTTCCTCAATCTGCTCAACCACACTCCCAGCCTGCACCACATTCGGCTTGCCTCTTCCCCCATAGGTCAGCCTCACCGGAGGGCGCACATCCCTCCTAGGTCGCTCAGGCGGGTGTGGAACTCGAGGTGGAGACTCATGCTGCTGCTGCTGCTGCTCCACTTCAGCTGCTCCCCCTTAACAGTCACCCCAGACATCTCCTCCTCAGACACTGCAACCTCCACCTGTCTTGAAGGCCGCTGCACCTCATCTGCCTCCACAATGAGCGGTGTAGATGGAAGCTTCTGTTGCTGCTGCTTCTATTCCTTGTAGTACATGGACTCAAGAAACTTCACATCCCTTGACACTGTCAACTTCTGGGTGGTCAAGTCCCATAGCAGCCACCCCTTGTGATCCTTTGCAATCCCCAAGTGCACACCCCATCTTCCAGAAGCCTCCAACTTCCCCCTTTTCTCTTTAAGCACATGAAACACCACCATGCACCCAAATGCCTTCAGCATGTTCACAGCTGGAGCACTCCCATACCACTTGACATATGGGATCCACTCCTTATCCCCAACTGTAGCCAGCACCCTGTTCTTCACAAGGGCGACCTGCCTCAGTGCAGACACCCAAAACGGATCAGGCAGCCCTGCACGCCCAAGGAGAGTGCGTGCCCCCTCCTGCAGGGTCCTGTTGAACCTCTCAGACACGCCATTCTGCTGTGGGTTGTAGGGCACTGTCAGTTGATGTTGGATCCCCTTCCTCTTCAACTCCCCCTCAAAATCAGCTCCAATGAACTCCCCACCATTATCACTGCGGATCACCTTCACCTTGTGTCCGCATTCCCTCTGAGCTCTAGGCATCCACTCATTAAGGACAGCCGCTGCCACCTCCCCCTTGCTCTTCAAAGGGTAAACCCACACTGCCCGAGTATGGTCATCCACAATTGTTAGGAAATAGCGGCTGCCTGAGAGGGAAGGGGCTCTTGTGGGCCCCACCACATCCATGTGCACAAGTGCAAGTGGGGTCTTGACTGGTCCTGTAGTGCTGTTGAAGGGGAACATGGAGAACTTGGTCTCCAAGCATGTAGGGCAGCTCCCAATCTCCTTCACTTCCCCTTTCACCTCCAAGTCTTTCAGGCTCCCATCCTTCACCAACTTCTGCAGCATAGGGAAGTTCACATGACACAGCCTCTCATGCCATGTCTCCCAATCGGCCTCACCACTCCTAGATGAAGCCTTGGCCCATGCCGCGCTCGCATCCACACCAGCAGGCACCTCGCCATGTGTCTGCTGCTGCTGCACTTTCTTGACTGCTTCCAGGACCCCATCAGTTGGTGCAGTTGCATCTCCTCCTGCTGTTGCCTTTGCCGCTACTGCCGTTGCTGCTGTTGGAGTCTTCCCATTCCAAGGGATGATGGGCAGCTGCCATAGGTCCTTGATGCAGCTGGTCTCCTCTTCCAGACTCCACAGCACCTTCTTCCCAAGCTTAGCACGGCAGCTGGTTGGTCCAAAGGTCACTTCAGCCTTGCTCTTCTGCAGCCGCCGCAGAGAGAGAAGGTTAGCAGACAGACCTTCAACCAGCAGAACATTCCCAAGCCCCACAATTTCCCCATTAGCTCCCTTAACCTTGGCATTCCCAACACCAATGACAGAGAGCAAAGCACCTGACGCTGCTGCCACATACTTGATCTTCCCAGGAGGTTTTACCTCATCAAGCAAATCTGCCTGTGGGGTCATGTGACTGGTGCAACCTGAATCAATCACCCAGTGCGTGAGAGGGTGCATCACAACTTTTCCCACAGATCCCACATCACCCTCATGCCCATGCACATCCTCAACCATAAGAAACAAATCAGGACATGCATTACCTTGTGCACCTTCACCTTGTACACCTGAGCCTTGCACAGCGCCACCTTGTGCGCGTTCACCACTGGGCGGCTTCATGCCTGGAGGTGCCCATCCCTCCGGCCTGCTGAAGCACTTGAACCAAGGATGCCCAACCTTCTTGCAGTACCAGCAGGTGCCCTCCATTCTGGTACTCCCCCTGCCACTAGAGCTCCCATGCCCCTCATTATAGTCACCTCGGCCTCTACCTCTGCCAAAGCTCCTCCCACGGCCTCGGCCTCTCCAATCCCCTCTTCCTCTGCCGCGCCCTGCAGCTCCATACCCCTCAGCAGTCTTAGTAGACGCACCACCTCCCACATGGCGTCTGCGGAAGTCCTCCTGCAGAATCTGCTGCCTTAGCCACTCAGGTGTCCATTGATCTTGCTGAGAGTTGAGGGTGGGGATGAGGTTGTCCCAAGAGTTGTCCAACACCGAGATGATCTTGGTGCACTGCTGCAGCTGACATACACTGCTGCCCGCTGCTGCCATCCTTGCATAGGTGTCCTTGATCTTGTCAAGGACCGGCTTCACATCGTCCCCTGGTCGCATGGAGATGGCAGCAAGTTCCTTCTCGAGCACGATCACTATTGGGAGAGTGTTGGACTGAATCACATCGCGTAGTAGTTTCCACGCCCTTGGACCCGAATCATCCGCTTCCACAAGATCCTTGATGTGCTCGAACATCTCCTCGTTGACCGATTGAAGGATGAGGTCGAAAAGCACCGCGCTTTTCTCAATCCACCGTTCGCGTGCTTCGCCTTCCTCCGGCATCTTCTCCTCCCCAACAGCAATCTTCAGTAGCTTGTAGCGTTTGAAGGCACTCCTCATCCGCCCGCTCCATTCCTCATAGTTGGAGCCATCCAAAGCTTCAACTTTTGATGGCGGCGGCTCACTTGTCTTCTCAAGTACAGCTCCTCTTCCATTAGCATCTCCTCCTCTCTCATTCATCTTCTCCTTGAGAAATGACAAATTTCAGCTCCCCTTTGCTGTCCACACTCAGCTCTCTCGATATTTTCACAAGTGTCGGCGTCCACGAAATTTCGGCAGAGTTTCCCCTTAGCGGAAGACACATCCAACCTTTAGAACACCACTTGGGCACACCCACAGTCCATGGTGGATCTAGAAGGGTCTTCACACTTCTGTCGACTCCTCTCAATGTCCTTAATATAGCTTTGATACCACTTGTTAGGATTAAGGACGGAGTCTAGGTGTGCTTAGGAGCTAGAAATACTCAAAATATAAATCCGAAATTCTTGACAGAAAAGTCGTCTTCACAAGAAACAACGTCGACGAAAAACTAGCCGTTGGAATGTTGCAAAACTTGAAGGTAATGTGGCGCTTAATCTCAGCTACCGTTCCCAATTTGAATCACATTGATTGATGAAGTATTCGCGACGCTATGGCTTTCGACGCACTGGGGGGTAAGCTGTAGGAGGAGAACTTAACTCAATCTCAAAAGTTCAATCAAAGTTCAAGAATCTTACAAGGAATTAGAGGAGCAAGAGAAAGATTGGGATAGAAGAGAGGGATGAGAGGGAATGTCCCAAGAGAGTCCCCAACCAAGGAAACCCCATAAGCACAAAGATTCCCTCCCTATAGGAACCCCAACTTTGACATTTATCCCTTCCCAACCAATCCATCCAAGTTGGCCACCCTTGCCAACCTAGCTTGGTTGTTCCCAACCAATTTGCAGCTGTTACAGTAGAGTGACAAATTTCCCCAACCCCAAAGGTCCCAAATCCATATAGAGTCACCCCACAACTTCACTTTGTAACCGCCGCAATTGTAACGCAAGCTCATGAACTTTGAATCTTCATAGCTTTCGCGTTCTTGCTCCGATTGAAGCGATTCTTGTTGCGTCGGAAAGATCTTCTCAAGATCTATCATCACAAATACCTGCTCAGACAGAATAACACAAAACACATTCCCAAATTCCAGAACACACCACACACAAATTCTTTCACACATAGTCAAACCATACATGCGAATTGAAACAAGGGATGGGAGGCAGACATAATGTGATAGCATATGATGACATCACACAACAATCGTTTGCTTGAGGGCGATGAAAAGAATGTTTCCTTATACTTGAATAAGGTGCTTGTCGTCAATAATCTTGGCTTCAATCTTTCACTCCCAAGGGCAGCTGATGGAAGCCAGAACCCACTTCATTAGCAAGAATTCGGGACTTCATATGTCACTGTGTCCCTACCGTCAGATCCAAAATGGGTTCAATTCGTTGAGGCTCGACATGCTTACGAATCCACTCGCAAAATAAATGAGAAGCAATATTTCGCACCCTATTATTTCATTTTATTATGCCAGCTGCCCAGCCTACCTACATTGCATTGAGTTCCGTTGATTATTTGAGATCTGAGCTTAGCTATAGGCATAACTTGGAGGGGGAGAGTTTAAGGAAACAATATTTCCTCATCCCGGGGCTCCCTTTGTAAAGTAAAGCGTACACCACTATAAAGGGGGTCCACACTTTTTATCACGTTCATCCGAGCCGCGTTACTCAAATGTGGCCTATCCCAAGCCGCATGCACATTAGCGTGCTTTTACATTTCGCGCTCGTCAAGTGCGCTCCGAGCCTATTTTCCCACTACATGCCCCGAGCTGTACCGGGCTTGCATACTAGCTATATCCTAGTGCTGGGCTTGTTTTAATATTGTCAATTGTGTACTTATCTTCGCTAAGATAATTCTTGCTTCTCGTTGTCTTACGATCATGACACATACCAAGCTCCCTCTAAACCAGGTCCTCAGATTGGTTTTAGGGAGGTTGAGTGCTCATGATCGGACATGTGAGGTTCCATGTTTTTCATGGTCGGGTTCCGGGCGTGACACGTTTTGCTATGCCTTTTATTAGTATGACTAATCAGGCCTACATTTTGGGAACTTTTTGGATTGCGGAGCAACCTATTGCAATTGATCGGAGGAAAATCTATCTTCAAGATTTTTTTCGACATTCTTTAATTAAAAACAGGAAGAATCACCTAAGAAATAATTGAAATATGAATTGGTGCTCTTCAAATTCCAAGTTTGTTACCATCTAATGTCTAAATGTGGTTTAATGAAATTCGATGTGCAATAAAGTAGTGAAATATTTATAGTTACACTAAGAATTGACCGAAAGAATGATGGGAAAGCAAAAAATGTTTTTTTTTGTTTCCTATCGATTCATGTGGCTTATTATTGTCGTTGACAGAAAGTGGCTATTGCTTCCCCAACTAGAAGCTTCAAGCCTAGAGTAGAATTAATATATTATGAGTAATAAATTTTGGAACACCAGAATCTGATTGACACTCATTGCTTCCACGTTAATTGACTGCACTCACGGAGAGAGTCAGAGAACCTTCACAAAACGATAAGCACAATCCAGTTCTTGACATACACAAAACATATTACCACAAGTGGAAAGCAAGAAGCAAATGACACCAAGCTGCAAAACAAGAACAAAATGTCACGAGAGCTAGGAAGCTAGGAACGGAAGGAAGCCAGGGAATGGCGTGAGGGTTTAGGAGCTAGGAGAGAAAGTTGACGAGAGAAAAGAGAGTGAACTAGAAGAGAGAGAGGCATACAAGGAGGGAGTTGTACCCTCTACAGTAGAGTTCGATAACCTACTAAGCCTACCAATTATATAACACAATATATAATTTAACACACCCCCTAGGCTTGGTAGTAGAAGAACCCACACACACCCACACCCCCTAACCTAGCACCCCCATTCCAAGCAGCAGCCATGACTACTCCAGAGGGGCCAATCCCACGGCCCGTGAGATGGCTACAGCGGCAGCCGCGACAGTGACGACAGCGGCGGCAATGGCCAGCGGTGACAGCAGCGGCGACGGCGGCTTCGACAACAGCGGCAACGGCAGCGGCCCTCGCCCTCTCGGCGGCATGTCCAAGCTCCATGACGATGGGGACCCTTACGAGTCAGGCATCGGCTGTGGCGAGGAGGAGGGGACGCAGGGGGAGGGGGGGGGGGGGGGGGGGGGGTGCGTGGTCCAGCATCACGCTCGCGACTGGCGTGCGGGCGGCAGGTCTAGCGGCGCCACAGGCGTCGTGCGGCCGGCTGCAGCTCGACGACGTCGTCACAGAGCAGCGTCGATGCCGTGGCGGAACATCGACGCTGCGACGGCAGCACGACGGCGCCGTAACGCCGCCACGGCAGTGCGTCGAGACGGCTACTGCACGACGTGGCCAGCGGCACGACGACGGCGGCGCCGTTATGGCTGGACAGTGACGCCACGACGGCGCGACGCCACGGCAGCGCGTCGAGACGGCCGCGGCACGACGCGGCCAACAGCACGACGACGCCGCCACAGCAGCACGACGCGGCCGCCATGGCAGCGGGCTAGGGAGAGAAGGAGTGCGTGGCAGAAGCGTGGGGAGCAGGCCCGGAAAGGGGAACCTGCTCTGATACCATGTCACGAGAGTTGGGTAGCTAGGAACGGAAGGAAGCCATGGAATGGCATGAGGGTTTAGGAGCTAGGAGAGAAAGTTGACAAGAGAAAAGAGAGTGAACTAGAAGAGAGAGAGAGGCATACAAGGAGGGAGTTGTACCCTCTACAGTAGAGTTCCATAACCTACTAAGCCTACCAATTATATAACACAATATATAATTTAATAAAAAAAACATCAAACTAATCATAAGATGCAAGTGATTACGAAAACGATAGAAAACCAGAAAATCCAATAATTACTCCATCCCCACGAATAGCATATAGCAACCCTCGGGAACCTATTCGTAAAGCCCAAATATAAAACCCTAGAGTGCAATCCAATACTCGAGGGATTTAAGGGGGTGAGTGCTAAATCGAAATATGAAAATTATGTACTTGGGTTGAATGTTGTACTTGAATGAATTTTCAATTTGAATGCAAAATTCAACAGAACACATAATGAGGGCAGCATTTAGGGCGTTTGATGAAGTGTCATCGGTGGTCTCTGGCCGAATCCATGTCGGATTCGAGGATGGGCTCGAGTAGCCACCCTAGCTGCTGTATCCGTTAAACAATGAATGGCAGAAGTAGGTGGCGGCAGCAATGCATGGCCAGGTGCGAATCTTCCCGTGATGGAGGGGCAGGAATCTGTCAAGAAAGCTGTCAAGATGCGCGCAGGACTTGTCCTTGCATCTTGACAGCAGTCGACAGCCAGGGTGTCATCTTGACAGCATCGACGACTGTCAAGAGCCCTCTAGATCCTTTAGCGAGACGCAATCAAGCCGCACCTGAGCGATGAGTCGATCCCCTTCCCCCATTCAATCGAGGCTTCCCTTTCAAGCTCCTCTTGTGAGCGAGGTGAGAACCTCATTCCACTCACATTCCGTTGCTCCACCTTCATTCACGGGTATCGATGGCATCTCGCTCACTCTAGTCAGCCCCGTGCCTCGTCTAGTTTTCCTTATCGAGTGTCCCTCCTTAGCTCCGCCATCTCTCGCATCGCCTCTGCCCATGTACTTATGGCTCCCATGGCCTGGGATCCTGGTGTGCGATCTTGCACTCTTAGAACTGGTTAGCTATCATTTCTCATAGCTATGGCTCCTGCCACCAGGAGCGGTCTTGCGGCGATTATAATCGTAGTCAGAGCCTCGACCGTTGGGTTTCAACCCCCACTTCGCCTGCCCCCCGCGCGCCATATGCTCCTCCGGCGCCTCCCGCACCTCCAGTGCCTCCTGTGCCCCCTGCTCTGCCTCTGGCGTTGCGCTTCCGCGTCGACGACTTCCCTGAACTTGAGGCCGACTTCGACGGCCAGGAGGAAGTGGATGCTGAAGAGGCAAATGACGATGTGTTTGACCAGCATGACGAGGTCGAGTGGGATGGTCCAGGAAGAAGGTAGGATTAAGAACCAAATCATAATGCTTCTCCCCCTTCATAAGGGCCTCCGCCGTTCGCGCACGGTGAATGAGAAGCTCTCGTGGCTCGACTACATGGCAGCGCACAGCCTCTGTGTCCATGCAACCGCCAAGAAGGCCGATGTCCAGCCGGTTTGTATTTGGTGGCTTCGGGATCGCCCCCGTCTGAAGAAGGCGGCTTCGTGCCACAAATGCCTGCACGGCACTGGTAGGTAGTCTCTCTACAGTGACATGTAGATTTGGGTCTATCGAAAGCTTCTTCATCTTCGCACTCGCAGCTTTCGTCGCTGGAGCCTGAATTACATGGCCAAGAATCACCCTGCCATGGATTGGAAGGCTTCGACCCGCTGGTCGTAGAGGATCTGTGCCAGGTGGGGCTTGTCAGTTCGGGTGAAGACCAAGGTTGGTCAAAAACGGGTCGACCGTACGTAACTCCTACCGTGTGTTCTCTCTCGGAATGCACGCGGACGAAATCATTTGCTATGTTGTGTTGTTAATGCGAATTTGGTTAGGACACACCATATGTCCAACATCCTGCTGTGACTAATTAGTGTATCGCTTGTTCCCAACCCCACCCTCACCCACACCTTCACACATCAAGCCGCTCGCGAAGTCGTTCTGGCGGTTCTGTCGCGAAGTCGTTCTGGCGGTTCTGAACTTAGGAGCTAGAATTACTCAAAATATAAATCCGAAATTCTGGACAGAAAAATCGTCTTCACAAGAAACGACGTCGACAAAAAACTAGCCGTTGGAATGTCGCGAAACTCGGATATGTAGTAGCCTGTAATCTTAGCTACCTTTATCAATTTGATGGAGTATTCGCGACGCTATGTCTTTTGACGCACTGGGGGGTAAGCTGTAGGAGGAGAACTTAACTCAATCTCAAAAGTTCAATCAAAGTTCAAGAATCTCACAAGGAATTAGAGGAGCAAGAGAAAGGTTGGGATAGAAGAAAGGGATGAGAGGGAAAGGTCCCAAGAG